CTTCAATTCTTATCACTCGTTATTATTCCTTTGTTTTTATAAAAACTACTCCGGTCTACGAATTATGATGTCGAAATGAAAATCACCGTTGATCCTCTGAGTAACATGCATAGATGAATACAGTTTGATAACCTGGTACAGCGGAGGGTGGGTATACTCTAGCCTTCCTCTCAAAATGCTCTTATATGTTCACGGGTTCATAGCCTCTGCTAGGCAGATCCTATTGACTGCCTTCAAGAAAGGGAATTGGCGAATGCAAACGTCTGGTGCATACAACCAGACTAGTATTCATGCGTGTCTACCTAGAAAATCCTGATTCTAAACCTATGGTGTGCATGGGTTCAAGAATCCGAAAGGATCAAATAGCGTATTAACCTTTTAGGTTCACTGGCAACCATGGGAACGTAGCTCCTAACTTCAAGTCAAAGGCTCTGAGGATGGCCCCTTAAGAAAACCACCTCCTCCAGTCTGAAAGTTCGGGAAGCATCCCAGCCCTCAAAAAGAAATATGAGATTTTGTGTTACTCATCTCTTAGTGCTCATAAAATACCAAGTTTGTGTTTTAATAAACAATAAGCGAATGACATTACAGCCGGGATCGAGTTTTTCTCAACATTCAATAAATCAGAGTAAAGCTACTGTAGAAACTTCAAGAATACATAGTGCCAAGAAACTGAAAATTTATTCTCATCGACAGCTTTCGGCAGTGTTTTCAATAAAATCAACAGAATTCACTCTCATTCTTATACGTAATATAGTCAGAACGTTATTAAGATAACAAAACGCCAGAATTCAATGTCCGTGGTGATCCACTGTGACAATGTTTTTGCTTTCTTTTACTACAAAAGCCTATATATTTTTGATCCGCATTTTGACTTTCAAACACATGAAAGATATAACCCAGAACTATCATTTATACATCCTAGTGTCAGAAATTTGTTCAAACCACAAAAGACGGGAGAATTCAGTGTCCCTTTAGGTCCAGTTTGACACTTCCTGATTTCATTTTCAACAATAATCGAATTATCAAACGCTGCATTTTGATTTTAAAACATAATTTTGTACCTTCCTTACTTAAATTAATCACTGAAAATTAAACGCTGTCAAGATTTTAAGTCTTAAGAACTGAATGAACCTTACTGATTGAATTTACAATAATCAACTGGGCAGAACGATTCTCTAAAACACCTCACTTTGATTGAGTCTAAACAGTTGGAAGAAGCCTGCTTCTGTTATTTTAAGGAGATTCATTTCGGTTGGCATTTCACACGCTTTCAAAAAGAAGAAACTGTGTTCAGGGCTTCCTGTTAAAGGGAAGTACTCTTGTGGTGCTTGTTACTTTTAACAGGAGGTGCAAGTAGTACATATTGTGAATGATAATCGAAAGGCAATGACGGTTTGTATTTATGCGGTGAAGTGTTTGTGGACAAAATAGGGATTGGAGTGCTTCATCACTTAATAAAATTGAAGGAGTGGTGGAACACGAATAAAAACATTTCTCGAATATAAAATGCTAATACTCTTTGTATAAAATGAATAGAATACAAGGTTTAGTTTTCACCAATGTTTGTTGTTATTTTACTCTTAAAAGTAGTTACTCTCTCGTCATTAGCAACATGCAGTAGTTAAACATTATTTCTTACTTGTGCGTCTGTGGCTAAGCTTTAGGATGCTCGCCGACCATCCATCTAGTCCGGAGTTCGATTCCCGGCCGGCGCACATCTTGATCTCTCCTAGCCAGTCTTAATCCGGACAAAGACAAGGGAGGTTGGACGTGAGGCTAGCAACCCCACCGCATAAAAGCCACCACTGCTACTGGAAATTCAAAGCTCAAGCTTGAAGCCCTGTATCCCACTAGGAATGCAAGGGAATAAAAAAACAAAACAATACTTACTAACTAATTAAAATAAAGTAACTTATTTGTTGAGCAATTAGTACTTGTTAGCTGAATGTATGGGCGTTCTTATGAATGATCCCTATTTGGAAATATCCACAGGATGTTTAAAGAGCCACTGAAGAATAGTTTAAGTGGTATTTCATAGTTTTAAAATAAACATTTCTCTTGTTGAGTAAACGCAGATTTTCCCGCAAAATTAGGCTCTTCCATCTACCATGGAAATAATTTGTTAACTTTATACAGTTGACTTAGTCACGAAAAAGATTTCCATACATCGAACGTTGAAGTATATTTCAGTTCTAAAATAATGAGGAAGATTAGTGGCTCAGGTGGATGTTTCCTATGTAGTCGTGTCCTCTAAGTTGGATAATTTAACTGTGAATCTTTTATTATCCTTCTAGACAACATCTTCAGAGCTTATTTTAATGTGAATTTCAAGCCTGCCCTGAAATCACTTACTTTTCCACAAACGTGGTAAATTAATCTCGAAAAATTTCGAAAATCTCCAAACGTTTTTAAATGAATATCTGCTAACATTTTTTTCGAGAATTTGCTAGACATTTTAATAGTGTCTGCCTGTATGAATACTTCTGTGCAGAAAGAGATCAAAAAAATCCCAGAGCAATATATCCACACACATGTTAGACATTTTGCTTGTTGTCTTAGTGCCATTTACGGTATCAAGCAAACCCTGTTGAATTCCATCATACAGTATACTTATTTGATAAAGTACACAATGTTATACAGTATTATTTACTGACAACATTTTGATCAGAATTTATTGCTCATGATCGTATCACTCAAGTTCTATTCTTATATCAATGAAACCCTAGTGAAATTTGCAAACAGGCAACTGCATTCTGTTTTTACTACTTAGCCAGGGTGTATATAATCATTATTCAATCGTGATACAGACCATTGATAATTGGTATTAGATAGCTGGAGGCAATCGGCACGAAGCCTTGCTTGACCTAGGTTTCATGCTAGTTAGCACTAACCAGTCAGTAAGGCGTATCTGCAACTTCAAAGGAATTCATGTCCATTCTGAAATTCGAACCCACATCGTCGAGTGCTGCAGTCAGAGACGTTACCACTGAGCTATTAAGGCTCGCGACTGACCTCCTGTAGGACTGTATTGGATACTTTTGATTGGACACTAGTTAGTCACTAGTGTAGTGTGTTTAGTCCTCTTTTTGGTGCAGACTGAATTCTATCAGTCACGTTGGCAATGTGGCCGGCATTCTAGGTGGCTCACCATCACGGCGCACTTTTAATAGTTGATGTTAGATGATTGGAGGCAATCTTCAGGAATCCTCGGACCTAGGTTTTCTGCCATCTGGCACTTGTCACATTACACTAGTTACTAACTAGTGTCCAATCAAAAGACTATTGATAAGCCTAGCTCCTAGCTAACAATATAGTAGTGAGGTGCTTACATCTTGAGTGGTCTTCATTTACGCATATCAACAAGTAGTAAGTGTGGTATTGTATTATTTAAACTTAGACTAAACTAAATGGGAGGAATCTGAAAGAAACAATCTCTTTTACCTACCTGGGAAGCATCGTTTCAACTACAGGCGGAACTGACGAGGATATCAAAGCAAGAATCAGGAAAGCAAAAACAAGCTTTCATTTCTCTCAAGTCTGTGTGGAGGTCAACAGCACTCAGCATCAAAAATAAGATCCGGATTTTCAACTCCAATGTGAAGTCAGTGCTACTCTATACGGATCAGAGACTCGGTGTGTGATGAGGAGCACCTCAAACAAACTACAGACCTTCATCAACAGTTGTCTTTGCTCAGTACTCAAGATCAGATGGCCGGCCAGAAAAGATCAGCAACAGAGATCTCTGGGAGCGAACCAACCAGGAACAAATTGTGAAACAAATAGGCAAGAAGAAATGGAGTTGGATTGGCCATACTCTGAGGAAACCACCAAGTGACATCACTAGACAAGCCCTTGAGTGGAACCCGGAAGAGAAGCGGCGAGTTGGTCGTCGAAGGGTGACTTGGAAGAGTTCATGTGAAGAGGAGATGAAAGCATGTGGGCAGACCTGGAGCCAGGTGAAAACTTTAGCAGAGAAACCAACGCAATGGAGACGTGCAGCTGAAGCCCTATGTTCCTCTAGGAATTAAAGGAAATAATAATATAAAATAATAGATTAAACTACTTAAGTGTCATATGAATAATAATGTGCATAAAAATCGGATCACTGTCACACAAGATACACATCCATACACTCATTTCTTACAGAGAATTTATTTTTCTGGTTGAACCTGAGTAAATGATTAGTTTTCACTTTGATTAGTGGATATATGAGATATGTCTTAATGATTATTCATCAGATCAAGGCTACCTCAAACATTTCTAGTGGAAACCCCTTTTTGCTCATATATACATATATATGCAGTATAGGGGTAATGGGAAGTTATTTTAAGTCATTTGCTTTTATGGCTTAACCTCAGACTTTTCAGCAGTTTCTCTAAAGAGACTGACAAGAGTATATCATGTTATCACTAGCGGTGTGATTTGATAATAAATATGATAATCATAACTTCAGAATGTGACGTTTCTCCTGGTAGGTTATCATCCCCTTCCGCAAACTTGTGGAGTACTTCCATTGACAGTTTATCATTTGCTTCTCCTGAATGGGTCACTCTTCTAATTTGGTAATATTGAAGTTTTACACACCTGAAATCTATAAAGAATGATAAGTGACTGGATTTCCCAGCTCCGTAAGGAGACTATCCGACTGATAATTTGGAGATCACCGTTTCATATCTTGCCGTAAACCACCTTTTCATTATTTCATCCTGAATTAATTACCAATTAAATCAACATCAGTTACTTAAACTAAAGTCGTCTCATAAAATTTCAGTAACAGTTTTTCTTAAAATTTACTGAAGTGAGAGAGAAATCGTAAGCAGACACAGTATAAACCATAAAGTCTTTAATTTTTTCTCTGTCCAGCGAATATTTGTGTTAGTCTGTTTAGCTGTACCTGTCTGTCTATGCAAACACTTTGATTTGATTCAGCACAATTTTACTATCTTACCTGCAGTGTGCTTATTTAATTATACGTATGCTAACTTATTAATCAGATAGATCTATCCGACTTTAACCAATCTCTGTTAGTCTTAATTTTTGGTCATAATATGTAGTAAGCAAGCGTGTACACAAACAAAACGTTTTGGATCGCTGTTGTTCTCTCAACAACAAAAACGGAGGATCGATACAACAAGGATTATCCAACTCTCCTGCTAAAAGTTACACTTTACACTAACACACTGAGGTATTGCATATGCCTATAGTTATACCTACCATTAGATTAGATGTTACTGTGTTTGAATTTGTGTGTATGAGTATTTGTTTGTACATACCGATGCATAAATGATCGTATACTAATGTGTTTGTGTGTGTGTGTGTGTGTGAGTATGCGTAGGTTTGTAAAATTTGTAAAACTCATATTTTCTCATTTTTTTATCTCAGTCATTCAGGTGAACAGAAGAATAAGATAGGTGTCTAACTCTTGAACTCTTTTCAATTTATCGTGTGATCCGCAGCAACTTCTACAAACAATGGGACGTGTTCAAATTGTAAGGAGAAATTATTTTTTGTTTTTATTTATTTATTTATTCTATTTGTTAATTTGTTGATGATTACGTAATTTGATGATGAATACGTTAAATAGGTAGTTATAAAATTACTTACTGATCACAAGTTGCATAATCCCGTGTTACTCAGCTTTCATGCTCTTAATTCATAAGACTACATGTATATAAAAGCATTACGTAATAGAATTTCACTATTTAATAGCTTATAAAACATTTTTTTCGCCCCCAATAAACTATCAATACATAAATTTTGTTAAAATGTATCGTTACCGTTATCCATCATCACCGTCTATGTGCTCAGATGAAGGCGAAGAAGAAGAAGCAGATCAATATGTAAATAATATACATAAATGATTTCACCTTTTTTTAATATTGATTTATTTTAATAGGTTTATGAACCAGATGACTCTGTCGCTGGACGAGTTAGTCATCCTGGTAGACAAACCATTGATCCACGCACTGGGAAAGTGATCACAGTTAGACGCGAGACTCCAGATGACTATTGTAAGTTAATCATTTTTATGCTTATGATTATTTATTAAATAATGGTAGATTTACTGTTTACTAATAAATGCATCGGTGTTTTACTGGTAGGATGTTTGTCAGTTACATATATATATATATGCTGGAGTAATTTTGCCAGCTTGTGTCTGAGATAAGTTTTTTTTATCCTTCACGTTCCCCAGTGGAACATAGGGCTTCAAGCTAGTGGCTTGAAGTTTCCGTAGCAGTGCTTATTTTACAGGATGGGGTTGCTAACCTCATGCCCAACCTTTCCTCTTCACCAGCATTATTTCTGGCTTAGCGAGGTGAAGGAGTGAGTAGGCCGGGGATCGAACCCCGGACCATGTGCATGGTCGGCGAGCGTCCTAACCGCTATGCCACCGACGCAAAGGTATACCCACTTGCCGGAACCCGGGATCGAACCGGGGACATTTAGATCTTCAGTCTAACGCTCTCCCTGCTGAGCTATTCCGGCGGCGAGATAAGTGTTACACAAGTAAAATCATCACCTTCCTCAACCAATAATGATAGCTGAAATTAGAATAGACTAAAAAGGAGTTAAGGGTGGTCAGATCAAATAAAGGTCTAGTTTACCTGACTGGATTTATCGTATATGCTATAAATCAATGGTTGAATATCTCTTGTATGAAATGAATCAAAACTGTTCACAGGAGTATATTAACTTAATCTAATTTCCAGAGTATGAAAGTCTTTACTAGTCACTTTTTAATCATTCTTATCCCTTACATCCATTTTTGTCCATTAACTGTGATGGATTTATAATGATGCATCTTTTTGGAAAGCTGGACGTCGTTTCATCCGTTAATCATCAGTTAACTCTGATATACATTACAAAAATTTTTTTGTATTTCCCAATGAATGAAAAACAAAACGATATTGTTTTTTACTGACGTGATAAGCAATTTCATTATGTAAACACACGATGCTTTTATAATTTTACACACTTATCAAATCCAACAATCTACACCTGGTTTTGTTATCTTTACCAATTGGCCAATTTGACAACGCAAAAATGACCCCATGTTGAGGAACGATGATTAACTGGTTATATTATAAGCTGAGATTTTGTAAATTCTGGTTTAATAATACTTTGATAAAGCTATTAGCATTAAATAGCGAAACGTCAGTAAAAACAACAATATCGTTTTGTTTTTTCATTCATTGGGAAATACAAAAAAATCTTTATTATTTTAATGAATATCATATACCCGATGCCCAAACTTTTTCAAACTGTTAAAAGTGAACTTGGTTTGGACAAATATAATTCTGATATAGCTTAAATTTATAAGTTTGGCTGACAGGGAATGAAGTAAATCGTTCCACGTTTCATTCCACTTTCTAGACTCAATAGAAATGGACACGATAGAATGAAAGTGATGAAAACAAAACACGTAGTTCAGAGAATAGGCTGTTTTCGGTGAATTCATTTTCTTTGGCTGTACAGTTGCATTGATACTCAATTGTTTCATGAAAGACGGTAGTAACAAAAGTGATCAGTTGTCACAAACATAGTTGTTGTTGAACAAGTGTATTATACTTACATAATAAGGTGAAGAATAGAACTGCTTCAGATTAATCCTGACTAGGTTCATCTAGAAGATAAACCTGAAGATGAAATCATCCGGATGAAAGTTACGAATAATTACCAATAAATCTGAAGAAAGTTTGCTGAAGGGTGATCAGGTGTTACGAAATATCTTTGAGTGATCTTATTATACAAAAATTCACAGAAAATTACCTATTCATAATGCATAATTAACTTACTGTGCATGAATTGAAAAAAGCACTAAACGATTTAATTTCCATGTGAATAATTAATTCTAGAATGAAGATATCTTATAATTCGAATGTGGTTACGATATGATCGTGTACAGTAAATTATTTATGATAAGTTATCTGATAAATCATCCTGTTATGCTGTATGTGATATATCACATAAATGAACGAATATGGAGTTACATACGTTCACAATGTACAAGTGCAACCGTCCTAAGTAAAACTGACTTTGAATTTCTTAGTGAAATGATACTTCAGAACAGATACGCGAACTCTGTATGTAGATTGACTACTAAACGTATACCTAGAGGCATTATCATGACTAAAATATATCCGTTTGCAGTATAGTGATTTTCAAGACAGTAAACATTGTCAAAATATGGGAGTACTGGACAGCTGTTTCGTCCTAGTTTGGGACTCTCCAGCAGTACGCACCCACCGAGGTTCGAACCCAGGACCTTGCCTTGTAACCAGAAGTCCTGGGTTCGAACCCAGGTGGGTGCGTACTGCTGGAGAGTCCCAAGCTAGGACGAAACAGCTATCCAGTACTTCCAGGTTTTCCAATGATTCTCTAACCAATGTCAGCTCATGATGAAATCCTGTAACCAATCAACCAAATCCCTACAAACCAATACTTCAATTGTCAAAATAATTTTTCTATCTCTAGAGTGAACTGTATTCACTCCGGCTGGTATCTGGTTGTCTTTATATCATTTAAAAACGTGATTTTAATGCATAAAAATCGATAATTACGTAGAGATTTGTCTACTAAAATTGTTTTTTTTCTTGGCTTATATGACTTTTTATAATAAACTGCTGTATACGCGATTACGCAATAGTTTAGACTGAATTTTCTATTCATAGAGCAACAAGCTAATCATATTTGGTAACATATCTATTTTGAATATTTGTATGCTATGCATCGAGTTTATTCTTGACAAATTTTCATATCTTCCAACAATATGGTTAATTAAGCATGTTCCAGAACTCTTTCACATTACATCATTTATTGATGTGGATCGTATAAGATTTACAGAGAATTAGTAACAAACTGTTATTAAATATACAAAGGTTAAACCATGGATGTTTCTTAAAGTAGTGTTGAAGATCATGTCGATAATGATGTTGAAAGCACTGTTCAACCAAAGACAACTTCAGAGAAAATTGACAAAATTATCAGAATAATGTATATTTGCGAACGTTACGGATTATCAGTTTAAAAATCTTTTTATTTATATAGTGAATTATGACTGAATGTAAAATGAAGATCTAGGTCGTGGCAGGATTCAAACTAGTGGCCTCTGGATTATTAATCTGACCCTTTCCAGTTGATCTACGAGACCCAGCTGCTAACCAGTTCATCACTGTAGTGACTTTAGTGAAATAATGACCAGATAAGCAGTCGGGTCCTGTAGTTCATCTCGTACAGCACCAGAGTAATAGTTCGAATCCTGCTACGATTTTCATCACTCGCTACTTCATTAAGAGAGTGCCAACGCAAGGCTATTCCTGAAAGTCTCACTTTAAACCTCCTTATTTGACAAGCAGTGACTAATGTCACCTAATCTCTACTGATAGAATGATTCATCTCCAGTAAAACTGTACAAAGTTAAGGTTAGTTTTTATACTCATCCTGGTGTGTAATCTTTGAGATAGTCTAGTGTTATTCCCAGAAAAAAGTAATGTGAATATAAGCAAGTGGCATGAACGTATTTATGAGTTCGTCTACACCATTATCAGAAATAATGAAACTCTTGAGTTTAAGTATTATGGAAAATTTGGGACAACAATATTAACCTTATCAAGAGTGAATTTCCCTTTATGATACAAAAATTATCTGTGTTATTTCGAGTTGAATTCATTCCTTGAGTTCCGGGTGAAAAATAGAGCTTTAAGCTTTGATAGTGTTTATTTACAGGGTGGGTTTTTTAATAATAATAATAATAATTTGCTTTATTCCAAAAACAGTATTAATGATACAGCAAGGAATTTTCAGCATTCAGTACAGTATTGCCTCACAAGAAACCTCCCCTTCTTTCCAGGCTAGTCAACTAGGCGAGGTTTAGAAGTGTGTTCGGTAAAATTTGAATCTGGATCTTCCATGAGAATTCTACCATTAAAACACTGATGCTGTTGTCATTCTTCTTCTTGAAAGCATCGAAACAGTCAACAGAACTTCAAGCTACTTATTTACACTGTAACATTTTGACTATAAGTAAAAACAGTATCATCGTGGGGAACTCTATCATTCATCTAATTATACATCCCCTCAAATTAACACATTCACAAGGTTTTAAATGAAACAAAAAGAAGTAGGTTTTAGGTAGAGATGAAATATGAATTGCCTGTTGCTCATTACCTCTTACTCTCACTCTCTAGTTTTTCTATTATAGTGCTTACTTAATCAAGCATTCTTCCATTACATTAACTTGTTTCAAAATAAGATCATAAAATTAAGGTATTTGGTTTTTTTTTCTAAAAATTCTTCCTTTGAAATATTCTCTTTTCTTTCATAGCTCTTTCTCTTAGTCAAATGACTAAAGTTGTGATATAATCAATTTTTCTCTTAATTTCAAAATTAAACCGCTTCTTTTATCATTTACTATCTCTCTCTCACCCTCTGATGATGGTAATTTATAAAATGACCAGTCAGCTGAATAGTACTAAAAACTCGCAAGCAG